TCAAGATAAAAGGGCTCACAACAAAAAAGGCTTTCAAGACAAAAAGGCCCCAAAAAACACCTTGGAAACGCCGAAATTTGTAAAGTTTTCATCACAGCAATAAGAAATGATGGTTAAGTTGCAATAAAAATGCCCCTACCACGCCTCTTTTTGCGACTAGGTTCAAACTCGCATTCTTGGCCATTTGAATCTTGCAAAGCTTTCGTCTTTGCCTCAGGTGGCGCAGATTTCCTGGCTTCTTCAACAGCACCACTTCGCTTTCCAAATGATAACTTTCGAGGCAAATTACTTCCTTGCTGAATACCCAGGAAAACAATATCATCATTCTCCACATCTGTCTTAAACTGTCCATTATTAGAAAAAGTGAAAGTGTTAACCTCATTTTTCACTTCAGAAAAAAGAAAATGTTCCTCTTTCAAAAGTTTCTGGCCATGCCAGGCTAGCCAATCATTGAAGTTAACTTAAAAATATGGAAGAAGATGACTTCATTCCTTTCAAACTTTCATATTAGATATACTGAGGCAAATTCTCTTACCTCAGTCGCTGATACACCCGGTTCTTGCGGAAAAGCTATGGTTTGGCGACGACTTGAAGTGGGTAATTCAGCGACAGCTTTTTGCAACATCATTGATCTTCGACACCATTTTCTGCTGCCCCTCTTTTGCCCTAAAGGTGTACAAATAAACAAAAAATACAGAAAAAAGCAAATGGAGATGTCATTTTTCAGTTCAGTCAATAAGAACTGTGCAGGAGAAAACACCAGCTACTCTGTATGCAACTTGCGCCAAACAAACTGCGTATGTTAATACATAGAGGTTTTCAGGCCTCCGCTCTCTCCCAATCTCTTTGCCAAAAATATTCGCTGTTTGTATTTTTTAAAATTTCTACAACACTTGCGCGTTTGAGAGCATTTTGTCTCTTTAATAATAAACGCACACTTTTGTAAAGATAATGCGTCTGTAACAATAACATTCTCATTCAAGTGTTCGTTTTTTTTTTTTTTTTTTTTTT